GCCGGGACAGGCGAGACGCAGCCTCTTCCCTGCAGCGCCTGGAGGGCTGGCTCTGTGATAAAGCCCGTGGCTGAGCATTCAAGGAGCAATTTTAACAGGTAGCAGAGGGGCTCAATGGTCTGGAGCTCACAACTATGTGGAAGCAGCCTTGGCAAGGACGGGAGACGGGGACTGTGCTCCTCCACCTTGTTTCAGCAGCTGCTGGTCACGCAGACAGGACAGGTTTCATCCTGGCACAGAGGGTTTTCTGCTCGGCAGCCCCACCTGTAGCACCTGTTCCCATGGGGTGCCAGTCGGGGGACAAGCAGCAAATCTGGGGACAAGAGAGCATAGGCATTGCCCATGAAATGACTGTGATAAATCGGGGAGGGGGGGCACAGGGAAGGCAGAAGCCGCTGTAAGGTTGTCCCAAGCTGGTGGGGAGCCCAATGGGGACGCAGCTCCTGCTGGCGCCAGGGCTTTCAGTGCCCCGATCCTGCGGGGCAGGGATGCAGCCCTGGAGTGTCCCCGGGTGCAACGAGGTGCCCGCAGGGCTGAGCCTGGTGCCCCTCGCAGGTGGTACGCGGGCAGGATCTCCCGGCACCTGGCAGAGGAGCGGCTCCTCCAGCGCAAGTACCTGGGAGCTTTCCTGATCCGTGACAGCGAGAGCACGCCGGGCGAGTTCTAGATCTCTGTCAAGTAAGTGGCCGTGGTGCATGCACGGAGGGACAGGGGTTTCTCACAGCGCCGGCTTTGGGGATCACACCACCCTCATGTGTGCTCCCTGCCACGGTGCTGGGGAAGGAGCGAGCACCTTGGCCTGCCCAGGACACCCTGAAGCATCCAGACACAGCTTCATACAACTCCAGAATCCTTTCGGTTGGAAAAGACTTTTAAGATCATTGAGTCCAACCATTGACTTCGATTCACACAGGAACTTTCCTCTCATTCCTCCTCTCTGCAGCTTCTCATTCCATCTCCGTCCCCACAGCTTCCTGCACCACCAGGCTCCATCGCTGCGTCCCCCAGGGTCCCTCGCTGGGGTGCCCCTAAATACACCCACATGGATAACGATGGGGCTGAGCTGTGAACACAACCCAGGGGATGTGACCTGCAGGAACAAGTTCCCAAGAGCATCCCTGGGGATGAAGGGACGCAGCACCCCAAGTGCCGCAGGGCCGATGATTTTGGAATCAGCAGGCCGAGATGTCCGAAGACGGGGTGCCAACGGGCAGAACCTGTCCCCAGGACTTTCACCCCATCCCTGCCCCTTTCCTGCCCCGGGCCAGAGTAGCAGGAGCCGGCCCCAGGCCAGCCAGGCACTTTCTCACGCTGCTAATCTCTAATTAAGCATTTAAAGAGGTTCTTGCCCATAATGAAAGGGAACCGTGTTCTGCTGTGCGTCACCAGCGTGGCCAGGTCCCTGCCTCTGCCCGGGGGATCTGGCAGCAGTGGGTCCCGTGGTGGCCCCGTGCCAGCCTCCCAAACCCCCCACCCCCAGGTACACACCGAGGGAGTGCCGACACAGAGGGATGGCGAGGGAAAACCCCAGCCTGCCCTGTTCTCCTGCAGCTTGGGGATCCCCGGGGGGCACAAGGGATTTGGAAGCAGAAGCCCAGCTTTTGCAGTCTCCTCCTGCTACGTGCTGAGCTGAGACCTGCTGCTCTCATCACACTTTCCCTTGCCAATGAAGCAGGCGGATGAGGAAGGAGAGGGGGGTGCAGCTGAAGGGCTCTGGTGAGGTGCGGGGACAACAAGGCTCCCAGGCTTTGCCTGTAACGCAGGAAGGGGTTCTGGGTGCTGCCAGCATCCCAGGGTCCACGCTAACACCCATCCTCTTTCCACAGCTACGGGCAGCACGTCCAGCACTTCAAGGTGCTCAGGGAGAGGAATGGCAAATATTTCCTCTGGGAGGAAAAGTTCAACTCCCTTAACGAGCTCGTGGATTTCTACAGGACCACCACCATTGCCAAAAAGCAACAGATCTTCCTCCGGGATGAGGACCAGACCCAGGAGGTATCGTCAGGGGATGGGGCCATGGCGACGTGCAGAGCTGGGCCGTGGGGTGATGGCATGTCCAGCAGCAGGGCCAGGCTGCGAGCCTGTGTCTTAGGGATGCCCCATTGCTCCCCTGCTACCAGGGCTGTCGCCACCACACCGCTGTGCTCCATGGAGAAACTGAGTCACGGGATGATCCACCACCATGGTCTCGCTTTGCCCTGGACTCTGCTTACAGAGAGGCGTCACAGGGCTGCAGCTCCCAGGGGACGGGGATTTCCTCCTGCAGGAGGTTTTCCTGCTCTTCCCTGTCAGCCACTGACATCCCAGAAAGGGCAGAGAGGGACAAAATGGAGAAAAATAAATGGCCCAGCCCTAAGCAGAGACTGGGACCCCCCTGGGTGCCGGCTCCCCCACTGCCCTCAGGTGAAGCATCCTGAGGGTCCGGTCCCCAACTCCTGCCTGAAGCCCTCTGGAGCTCAGCTCCCTCCTGGCTGCAGCATCCCCAAAGAGAGGGACAAGGACATCCCAGGTAGCACTTGGCCCCGTGTTTGGGCTTGGCTTGAGGCGGTGTCGAGCTGGAGAAGGTGCAGCAGCCCAAGACAGGCAGCGCCACAGGGAAGGTGCAGGGTGGAGAAAAGCCACCGGCGCAGCTCATCGGGGCAGGGCAGGGCAGGGCAGCTCGCCCAGGGCTCACGCCACCATCCCTCAGGCCAGGGGTAATGCCCGGGGCGGGTGGCAGAGCCCGACCAGCTCTGGACAAGGTGCAGCTGCCTTCAGGCGAGCTCTAGCAAAGCTGAGCCCTGGGGCTGTAGTTGTGGAGGTGGCAAAACTGGAAGCTGGGCTGGGGGCAGCTCTGGCACCCAGAGGTGGGGTGCCAGCTGCCTCTGAGGGTCCCCTGGGCACCCATCTTGGCTCTCCTGAGTAGTAAGAACAAGGAACTCTGTGCCTTGGGGTGCTCTCATGCACCCCGGGATGCTCCCCTGCACTCCACATTCTTCCCTGCACCCCAGGCTGTGCTGTGCACCCCGAGCTGTCCCCAGCACTCCGGCTCCTCCCAGGACAGAATTTCCCTAGCTCCCATCTCTCATCCCCAAAGCGGACACCCCAGGTACCCCTGCACCTGTATGCCCTGACCCTCCGAGGTCAGTGCCATGTCACCCCACCCCGCTGAGGACTCGGGCAGTGCAGAGGGGCGGGTGGACAGGGACATCTCTCCCCCCACCAACATCTACCCTCGTCTCTTCTCCAGGGGAGGAGACCCAAATTTGTGCAAGCCCAGTTCGACTTTTCGGCCCACGACGGCTCCCAGCTGCATTTCCTCCGCGGGGACATCATCGAGGTCCTGGACTGCCCTGATCCCAACTGGTGGCAGGGGAAGATCTACGGGCGCGTCGGCCTCTTCCCTCGCAACTACGTGCACCCTATCCACAAGTGAACTGCTGCCACGCAAACGGGGAGGACCCCAGCCCTTGCTGCCCCCCACTCACCGGAGCTGCTTTGCGCCTGCACGCTGACCACACGTCCCTTCGTCCCCATGGATGGTCCCCGCGGCGGGCTGCCCACACACACGGGGGCCGT